ATATTGGTGGCTATTACAAAACTTTGCCAATTCCTGTCCCAGTGTCAATTGTACTTTTCTACCATCCCATCAGACTGTGGGTGAAGTGGCATTGTCCTGGTCTTTCGTATGCCAAACAACTTACAGTATTCATGGAACACAGCTGATTCAAAGTTAAGGCCTTGATCTGAATGCATTTCATATGGCATACCAAACCTAAAGAAGAAATCACTAATAGCCAAAGCTACTTCCTGATTTGGTACTGCATATGCCTCAGGCCACTCGGTGAAATAATCCATCACACACAAATGTACTTGTTTCCAGCACGAGTTTGGGGCAAAGGACCAGCAATGTCAATGGCTACTCTTTTCATTGGTGTACCAACTTGATATAACTTCATTGGAGCACATCCCTTATGTTTGAGTCCCATTTTAGCACAACATGTACTACAGGTCCTCCACCATTCTTCCACATCTTGTCTCATACCTATCCAGTAAAATCTCTGGTGTAGGTGACTCAATGTGTTTTTAACTCCAAGATGTCCTCCTGTTAAACTATCATAGGATTGATGCAGCACAACTTCCCGTAACTTTCTCGGCATAACCGTTTGCCAGGTCGTCACTTTCCCATCTGCAGTTTCCCATCTCCGGACAAGAATACCATCTTCAAGCTTCAACTGGTCCCATTGTGCCTAATAGTTCTTTGTCACAGGGCTTAAGCTAGACACCTTCTCCCAAGCAGGGCACAAAACACATGCTTGTAGAAAATCAATTATTGGCTTCAAATCTTGGTCTTTCTCCTGTTCTGCTTTAATATTTATACTTGGTTCCACTTCACCATCATCAACTCCTTCAGTCACTTTGACTTCAGCTTGATGGCACCTGGTTAGTTCAACCTCTCTTTTGCAGCAATGTCTGCAATCATTTTTGCAGGGTATTCGGCTCAGTTCATCAGCATGAGATTTTCCTTCTCTGTATTCAATATCACAATTATACTGGTCTAACTTTCCAATCCAACGTGCCAGTTGTCGCTCTGGGTTCTT